GGAGGGGAACTCATCAACCCCAGGCCTGCCGGCATAGCCAGGTTTTGACGGCTTTCCGGAAGGCCTGGAGAGGGGTGAGGGTCCGAATCTCCGCGGGGAGTTCATTCCAAAGAGCCGGAGCTGCAACAGAGAAGGCCCTCCCCCGGGTGGTAGCCAGATGGCATTGGCTGGTAGACGGAACCCGGAGGAGGCATTGAAGGTGTGATACTGTAGGATTATATCAAGCACTGTGAAGATTTAGGCAATATTTAAAAAAAAAAAAAAAACCAGTAGCATCAGGTAGGATGGAGAAAACGTTCTAGCAAGAAGTAGTCCAGCATTCTAACAAAAGGGAGATTTGAATAATGGATACATCATAACCAAGAAAGAATCCAAAAAAAGAGAGTCTCTATAGGATGAGGATGGGTGAAATAAGCAATTAAGGCAAGATCCTCAGTAATAAAAAAAAAATATGAAAAAATCTACCTGAGAGGGAACGTAACCAGGTTTTAAGGAGTTGGGCAACTTTCTAAATCTAATAAAAGTAAGTTAAATAAACTGAAATTTGAGTTGGAAGAAGGTGGCAATTGTTGAGATCCAAGGCTGCAGGTTCAACAGGCTACCCTAAAAGTTACCTGCTGAGCCCACATCTAAGGCTGGCATTGGGGTGGCTTAACTTGCCTTCCTGGAGAATTTAGCCTCCTGGGCTATGAATAACTTCGAATCCAGCATCTTTCACCTAGAAATGAAGCCGAAATAGCAGCAGCAGCACGCAGCTAATGTCCTTTTCTCCACTCCCTTCCCTCTTTTATGCCGTTTTCTAAAACCTCGCCAACAGTGAGTGTTTGGGTGCGCCTCTCCTGTGTGTACATACGAAAGTGTGTATAGTATATGGAAAGAGGACACGGGTTTGAATAGATATTTGGGGATCGGGAGAGAGCAAGGAAGAAGGGAAGGGACTCCAGGCTTTTCCACCCACCCATCCCCCGTTGCCCACGGCTCCCCCCCCACACACACACACCTCACCCCCCCTCCCCTGGAATCGGGAGCCGGGCCGAGCCCTTTGCGCAAGCAGGCGACAGAAGAGAGCGAACAACCAGGGAGGCGGCCGAGGCGCTCCCGAGGAGGAGGAGGAGATTAAAAAGTGACTTTCTCATCTTTCCACTAGGCTAAGCTCCCCCCACCGGCCGATGGCCCCGCCCCGAGGTCCTTGGCACGTCCCCGATTGGTAGGCAGGCCGGTGCCTTTGAAGTGTGCTGCAGACCGGAGCTATTTGACGTGTAGCTCGGGGAAAGGAAGGGCTTTTTTCCCCCCTCCGTCTCTCGCTGGGGCCGGTGCGGTCGTCCTTGCTGCCGCCGCCGCTTCCACAACGCGCCCTGCCCGGCGTTTCGCGCTGCGGAGCTTGCCTCTCCCCCCCTTTGCCCCCCTCCCCTGCCCTACCCCACCCCCGCCCTGCCCGGCTCGCTCCCCCAAATGAGCGGCGGTTCGCCCGCTGGATCTAACGCAAGGACATCGCCCAGCAGCAGCGGCGGCGGCGAAGGAGGAGGAGGAGGAGGCGGCGAAGGCTCGGCCGCCGCCTGGTCAGCCCAGCCTTCCGGAGCCGTGTGCCCGGTGTTCTCGCACCTGTCCCCGGAGGACCCCCTGCGCCAGGCGAACCGGCTTCCCATCAGGATCCTGAAGATGCTGAGCGCCCACAGCGGTCACCTCCTGCACCCGGAATATCTGCAGCCGCTCTCCTCCACGCCCGTCAGTCCCATCGAGGTCAGTGCCAAGTCCGAGCCTTCCTTTGCCCGCCGGCCAAGCTGGGCCTTTTTTGCCTCCGCTCCTGCCCTCGGTCTCGGCCGCGCGCTCCCAACTCCTTGCTCGGCTGCTTCCCCGGGCCGCGGCGCTTCGGGAGCTCCATCTCGCTCTCCGTTCCCCCTTAGTTCGGGGATCCCTGCTCCCCACTGCCTGGCGCTCCCGTTTTGTAGACGGCTGGCGAAGGGCGCTTGCTTGCTTGCTTGCGAGCCTTAAATCCCAATTGATTGGGCTGCCCGGCCTGTTGGTGGCAAGAACGGGGGGCGGTCGAGGGGGGGGAGCGAGGAAAGAAAGACGCGTTGCGATCTTCGGCGCCTTTTTCCCCAACTTTGCGCCGCGATTTAATTCTGCTCCTTCGAAAAGGGTGCAAGGGGCACATGCAGGGGGTTATAGCAGAATAGCCCGGGGAGAAGAAGGGTCCCATTTGGGGAGGATTTATGTCCACCGACTCCGAGTTCCGGAGCGGGAGGCTGCACGTCGGAAGAAGCAGAACCCGTGTCGCCGATGACCTTAGAGCGGGGATGAGAAGGAGCTAAACCCCGAGGAAAAGGGCTTTCCTTAGGAAGGGAGCCCGGTTAGAGGACGGTGGCGGGGAACTTCCAGCTGCCAGAAAGGAACCTCTTGTCCCCGGGAGGGGAGATGTAGTTTCGGGTGCGCTGTGATCCGGGAGCCCATCTCGGCCCGCTTTTCTCATTCGCCTCGCCTCTCTCCTTCCTTTTACAGCTGGACGCGAAGAAGAGCCCCTTGGCGCTCCTGGCGCAAACCTGCTCGCAGATCGGCAAGCCGGATCCGCCGCCCGCTTCCAAACTCAACTCCGGCGCGGCCGCCGGGCTGTCTGGGCCGGACAAGGAGTCAAGCGGCCGCGCCGCCAGTGCCGGAGCCGGCAGCGCCCTCAAGCAACTGGGCGACGCGCCCGCCGAGGATAAGTCGAGCTTCAAGCCGTATTCCAAAGGCGGCGGCGGCGGCAGCAGCGGCGGCGGCGATCCGCGGAAAGACGGCGGCGTGCCGCCGAGCCAGGCCGCCTCGGGCGCGGAGAAGAACGGCTTCCGAGTTCCCAGCGCCGCCTGCCCACCTTTCCCTCCGCTGGCCGCCTCTTCCTCTTCCACCTCCTCCTCTCCGGGCGGCTCGAGGGGCAATTCCCCGCAGCACTCGGACTGCAGAGGCCTGGATGAGAAGAAGGAGTCGGAGATCGTGGCCAAAGGCAGTCCCGAGGGAGCGACAGGAGCCGGAGGTACCCGGGCGCGCGCCGGCAGCGTGGAACCCGGGACGCAAAGCGAGGCGGCTTCGGGGCGCAAGTCCGAACCTTCGGCCTTGGCGTCGGCCGGCCACGTGGCGCCGGTGTCTCCTTACAAGCCGGGTCATTCGGTGTTTCCTTTGCCCCCCTCCGGCATCGGCTACCACGGCTCCATCGTGGGGGCGTACGCGGGTTACCCTTCCCAGTTCGTACCCGGCTTAGATCCTACCAAGCCTAGCCTGGTGAGCAGCAGCCAACTGCCGGGGGGCTTGGGGCTCCCGGGAAAGCCCCCCAGCTCCAGCCCGCTGACGGGGGCCTCCCCGCCTTCCTTCATGCAGGGATTATGCCGAGACCCCTATTGCCTGAGCTACCACACCGCCTCCCACCTGGGCACCAGCAACTGCTCCAGCTGCGTCCACGACCCGGGCAGCCTGAAAAGTGGATATCCCCTGGTGTATCCCACCCACCCGCTCCACAGCGCCCTGACCTCCAGCGCCACGCCCAGCCTCTCCGGCCATTCGCTCTACACCTACGGCTTCATGCTGCAGAACGACGCGCTGCCCCACATATGCAACTGGGTGTCCGCTGGTGGACCTTGCGACAAGAGGTTTGCCACCTCCGAGGAACTCCTGGCCCATTTAAGGACACACACGACTCTGCCTGGGGCGGAAAAACTTTTGGCTGGTTATCCTACCTCGGGGCTGGGCTCTGCTGCGTCCTGCCACCTCCACCTCCCGCCTGGCGCCCCGGGGAGCCCCAGCTCCTTACCCGGATCTCTGTCGTTGAGAAGCCCGCAGACTTTGGGACTAAACCGCTACCATCCCTACGGCAAAAGCCATTTGCCGACGGCGGGGACCTTGCCGGTCCCTTCCTTGCCTGCAGCTGGACCCTACTACTCCCCCTACGCCCTTTATGGCCAAAGACTGACCTCAGCCTCTGCACTTGGATATCAGTAACTCCAGCAGCCCTGCGCTCTCTCTCTTGCGACCTCGCCTCCGGGAGTGTGTATTTATTTCCTGTATGTTAGCTTAAAGCTGGGAAAATAAGTGCATTAATACACCAATGAATCAATGGTATGCAAAACGTCTGTGTCCCCCCCCACTTTTCCAAAATCTGACCCACTTTTATCTTTTTTTAAGCAAAACGTTTTATCCATGTTGGGGGGGGGGAGCTTACTGTATTTTCTCTTTTTTTTCCCCTTTAAATATTAAAAAGAAAGAAAGAAAGAGAAAGAAAGAAAAATAAAGAAATGGGGAGGTCGGGTTATCTGGGAAATTATTTGGTGGCTTTGTTTTAACTGCGGAAGTGGAAGACGGGTGATCGGACTCACCTTGGGACTGGGAAGCTGCCGGCAGTGGGCTGGCGGTGCCGAGAGCTTGGTGGTTCTGAATAGAACCTATCATCCTGCCTCCTATGCAAAAACCAAATCACCTGTGCTCTCAGAGTGAGTGGAGGGATGCCCTAAATAAAAAGGAGAGCATCCAACCACTGGAATTTTTTGGGGTGAAGCTGAAGCCCCTTCCCATAAAAAGAAGTGGCATGCAAGCCTTCCACCATCTTTCAAACTTGTTTTATTTTATTTTATTTTGCTTTGACATTTTTGTTCTCTCCCCTCCTTTTACCCCCACCCCCCCACCCCGCTTTTTCTCTCTCTTCAAAAGACCTGAATTTTAAGGAAATTAGCAAGCATCCTTGAGGGACTGGAAGAGAACAATCTTATACGCCAAATGAGGAACTTGGAGAACTTTTGCTCAGTCTGGTTTCAAGCTGGATCCTCAAGTCCAGCTTGTAGCCCTTGGGGGCCTCTTTATCTTTCTCTGTAGGCTCAAATCTACGTACCAAAAAAACCCCAACCAACAACAAAAAAAAAAATCACTCCCCCTTCTTCCCTAATGACCCTATCGCCCACTTTCTCTTGACCTGTGGGAATGGAACAGCTGTTAAGGTGCAGAGACTCCTCCCCAAATTGCAGAACTAATGCAGCACGGAAGGCTGCAGATCTTTTGGGGTGAATAGAACTCCCTCCTGGTAAGTCTTATTTTGTTAATAAATGAATACTTGCTATATCTACCCCATCGCGTGTGCTCTTTTGCATTATCCCTTCGCCTTCCTGCGCTACACCTTCCCCTTGACCGGCTGGTTGCGCGAGGCGGCCGTGAAAATTCAAAGACAACAACCGGAAGGGTGGCCAAACCATGAACAGAGTCCCTTTGTTTTTTAAGGTGACTGAACGGTGGAAGTGGAGATCACAGTCATCGAATGCATCAATCCGTCCTCTGGTTGTGGTTTGTGATTTAGTGCATTGGGCAAGCACAGCTGATTCAGTCTGCCATGCTGGGAGGGGAAGGTCGCTTGTGAGTCTGGCTATTCATGGGGGAAACTGAGGCAAGATTGTTCTGATCAGGAATTGCAAGGGAAGAGAAGCATTGTGTCTTTGGCCAGCAGGACGGGGGTCACGTAATGCCTTTGTCTCATAATATGCTACCGTTCTTTCTGCAAGCTTCAGAAGGGAGGCGGGGATCTTCCAAAGCAATGTGCCTGCATCACTCGTATTCCTTATTGTCTGACTGCCACCTCAGCAAAATGATGCTTCATTCTGCTGAATGGGTAAAGTCTGCCTGCAGCTGCTCTCTCTGCTAAGTGTTTCTCTTGAGCTAACTCTATTCAGTGGAGTGGTGAGTTCTCCTTATAGGAAATATATACCAGCTGGAGTCCAGGAAAGACTTTTTTTTGATGGGGGGGGGGAATCAAGAGAAAGAGAGAAGCAGGGTTTAAAAACCTTCCTGGGAAATGGAGCATGGAAGGTCTGCAGCACTACCTAGTGGTGGAGAATAGTAAATGCTTTTGCATCCTCTGAGAGTACTGTTATGGTTATGGATAGCTACCGTGCTAAGAACAGTGCTTTATTATCAGGGCTTTGCCACGTTTTTTCCCAAAGGCACCGAAATGCCAAGGGATTTACCTCTCTGCTGTTCTGATTTTAATTCAAAATTTTTAGAGTCTAGCTTCATCTTGAGAACTCAGAAGGGAGGGGATGTATATAAATATTTTTTTCATTTTCCTCTTTCATCTCCTCTGGATCCATTGCCTCGAGTTTCAGATCATTCAGCAACCTTTTTAAAATATATGTTAAGGGTGTCCTTTTATTTTTCCTTTCCTGACGAGTACAAGCAATGGTACTAGTTGGCTTTTGCATTGAAGGGCATTGGGATGTTCAAAATCAGTCTTTTTCGCAGCACAATCCTTGCATTTGTCCCAAAGGTGCTTTTTCAAAAGGCAACTGGACTTTGTTTTTCCTTGAAAACGTTTTTTTTCTTCTCATCCAAGAAGCTGCTTTAGTTTTGACTGAATGGTGGAGAACTAAATAAACTTCTTGGATAAGAAGCAAAACGTCTTCAAGAAAAAAAAAATCCAGTTGCCTTTTAAAAAAGCACCTTTGGCAAAACCATGACCTGGATGAATGAGGATCTCCATAGACGATCCCCGTGTTTCCGTGCCATAGGCAAACTGGGACTTTTTGGGATGGTTTGGACTTCAGCAAGCATCAGCTCTAGAATGCCTGGCCTGTGGGAAATGGAAGGGCATTCGGATTTGACACAAAGGAGCTCCGCATCATATATGATGGTGAGTCCATTAAATAATTTTTATTTGGGTGTTCTTGTACTACTCTCATAATGCCCCTCTTGCTTTGTGCATTGGGCAAGTAACAGCTTTTCCAATCCAGGTGTATTGGAAGTCAATTCATAATGTCCCTACCTAGTAGGTCTTCTGCCAGGACTTGGACTGCAAGATAGAACATCTTCTACTGTAGTCGAAGGACGCTTGTGAGAATCTCCATCTTTTCTGGACCCAGTAACCAGGGACCACAAGACAGACCTAGCTGTATGTTGGCCATAAATTTGCTGTTTACCAGAATTGGGCCTTTTTTGAGAATACTTAATTCAGAATGAAGAATTTGAAGGCTGCTGAGATATTGCTAAAGTGCAATTTTCATCAGCCCCCGTCAGAGTAGCCTATAATAAAGATTGCTAGGAATTGGATGTCCATCAACATCTGGAGAAGTACAAGTTCTCTCCTACTGTAAGGAGGCTTTAGACAATTGTCTCCAGATAATTGGCCAGAATTTGAAAAACTGCTGCCTTATCAACACTTCTCCCAGAAGTTAATTGATGAATTGGAGGATGAATTTGCTATAGAAGATGCAAAAAGTGTCAAGATTAGCAGGTTTTATTGGAGGTATCATGGATGTAAGAATGGTAGTAATGGCTTTATCCAGAAATGACACTTTGATCCATCTAGGATGGTCCTCACTGCTCAATTTTGTTCATAACAACCTTCTACAACCTCGGTATTGCCAAATGTGTTGACTTAACTCCCAGAATTCTCAGCGGTAATGACTGAAATTGATATCCAAACATTGGAGTGAACTCCGATTGAGCAAGATTCAACAATTTGTAGTTTCAGATAGAGATTATTTTCAGGGAAACTTGGAAGTGCGAGGAATTGAACTCTGAACCTACCTCATGCAAAGCAGAGGTTCTACTGTTGAGTGATGAGGGTTCTTCCATCACATTTAAAACACTTGTAGTAGGGAGTGCCATATTACAAACTGTATTGCCCTACTACTAAAGTCAGATGAAACCACTTTCTGTTTATATATTTGGGGACAGGAGTAACGACAATAAGTGCTTGGGTTCAAATATGACTTTCCAGAGATATAAAAGATGACTGTATAAAATACTGTAGAGCTTCAAGCTCAAGTTATAGCTACTCACAAATGAGGCCCATAGCTAGCTGATATTCATTTTTAATTTTCAGAGAGTGCCCCATTAATTGGGTTAGCAAGACATCTTTAAGCTAAGTTAAAATGAGATTAATTAGTTCAGCATGCTTGGGAGACCTAGCCATTGTTTTTAGCATGTTGCATGACAGGCCATCACGTTATGCTTCACGATGGTTGATGGAATGTTTTGGGAGTTCACGAATTGAGGGTTTATGTAGGGTGTTACATGAAGTCAACCAATTGTCTGTTTAGCCACGGTGAACAAGATGAGATGACACAAAAAACTTCCCGCAGATCAAGCTGTTGCCGGCAATGGTTCCTCCATAGCTTGGATTGAGATCTGATGCAGAAGTGATTTCCTTTTCCCTTTCCTTTTTTCCTTTCCTTTCCTTTCTTTTTTCCCCTCCACTTCCCTCCCCTCCTCTCCTCTCCCTTACCCGAAGGTTTGGAAATACACCTTTCATGATCTTGTCATCGACAGTGCTCTTTCAATTTCTGTCCAGATGGCAACTGAACTCAGGATCATCTGGAAGGTTTCAGGCCTGCCTCCACCCTGTTCTAAACAAAGTAGAAGTGCTTGTTCTCTGCCACACGGAATGGCAACCATGCATTTCGCCTTCTCAGCAACTCAACTGCCAGTGGAGTGTATGAAACAAGGCAGTAAACTGTAAAAGTCTTAAGGAGACTCTTGCTAGATCAGCACAAATACCTTTTCAGTCTCCCATCCATTTCCTGCTGTGGCCAAGCAGAGGCCTGTAAGCAGAATGGACGGGAGAGCATGCTCACTGCTCTTTCTGAGATGAGTTTTCCAGCAATTTATACTCGGGCATTTAATCCTCAATACTAGGGATACGATAACCTCTGTGAACTTTCTGATCAGGGCAAAAAAAGTTTAACATCAACTTTCAGAGATATTATACTGTACGCTTGGCCGATGCTCAATGACATCTGGTTTCTTCAGCCTATCAGAATTTACTTTCGCTCTGACAATGACTTGCAGAAAATCAACGTTAACAGGCCGGTTGTTAAGATGTTGATGTTGTTATTGATGTTATTATTGTAAACTCAATTGATTTAGTTGCAGTGGCAAATACTGACAAGAATCTAGTCCATTTCTCTCTGCTTCGTCCCTTGTTTTCCTAAAGGAAAATGAGGAGGAAATAGAAGATGATTAAGCTTCACTTTAGCCAGTTTTGACATGTGGCCTAATATAGATTCGATCTCCTGTTAGTGTTCACATGTTCGTGCATGTCTGTAATCCTACGTATTTAATAAAATACTGGAAGATTACTATTTATCGCAAAGCTTTCTGCAGACAGATGTCAAACTGGCAGCACAAATTAGAAGTCAGGCAGTTACCGCTGTTTCTGAAACTTCCTTGCAAA